TTCCAGCTGGAACAAGAAACGGCAGCTCAGCAGGGAGGTGCACCGGCTAGGGAAGGGAAGGCTGCAACCACTGCTGAAACACTGGAGCATGGCACCGTGGGGCAGCCCTGCCACCTCACTTCTCCCGTGGCAGGCACTGATAAAGAAAAGGGGTTTGGAGCATTTAGGTGCAAAGTCAGCCCTGCCCTCAAACCTAGAAATAAAGCAAGCCATGTGGTGTATAAAACAGCTGACTGATGAAATCAGAGCTGAACTGGGAAAAAAATACAGGCTATCAGAGATTGTTTTTAAAAGCTGATTTTATAAGGCAAGTACACTAGCAGAAATTATGGTGAGCTTGGGTTTGCATGGATGTGGATGAACAAACAACCTAGCAGAATCTGAAATGCTGAAACAAGAAAATCCTATGAATGCATGCACTGGAGAGCAGGTGGAAAGTCCAATACTTAAATGGATACGTAGTTTATCTGCTTATCATGATACAGGAAATGCTTTTAAACAACGTGACAAAGAACTGAAAGGAGGGATTTCTGAAGGTACAGGTATTTTCCTTGGTTTATTTGCCAGTGTGTCAACTCGAAGCATCCAAACTCCTTGGAGCTGGAAGTAAAATTGAAATTGGACCTAGCAATAATATAAGCTACTGTTGAGGGAGTAAAAACACCGAATGAATGGACAGGTTTGCCATGATAATAAAACCAAACAAATCAAGGATGTGCATACATTAAAAAGTACTTCTCAAAGCTAGAAAATGTGAGAACTTCCTCCTGGGAACGGATAAGGAGGTCACATCTAGATTTCAAAAAGCAAAGGCATGGTTTTGGTGCAAGTAAATAAAATTTGATCAAAACACAACATATAAAATACCCCACATGCATTTCCTTGGGCAGACATTTAAATGAATTCCTTTTAGATTACTACTGGATAGATGAGCATGAGAGCATCAAGTCTGCCACAGGACTCTGACCTTTGGAAGCAGTGTTACAGATGCTTCTAAGGTGCCAGAAATTATTATAAAATTACAAAATTGCTGGATGACATGTCCAGTACAGAGCTTTTACTGGTGCAGATTTTCAGTAATTTGCATGTAGAGAATAAACAAGAAGCTGCAAGAGGATGTGCTTGGAGTCATGTATAATTTGAGTTTGACCCACTTCTGCAATAGAATTAAGCAGGCTCAAATAAGATGCATAAAATGAACTAGTCTTAGTGCGACTTAGAGCACAATTCCAAATTGAGAAATGAAAAGAGAAACTCTCCCATCTTGCTGGATCAAATCATACTGACAATACCAAAATGAAGCTACAACAGACAGTGCAACTCTGGGTACAGGAGGCTCTGCAATAGCACCATCATGCAAAATAAGGTCAAAAATACTGAACATAATTTACACTACCCATCTGGCTCTGTGCAAGATGAGGGACTGAAAAAAAATCCTACTGTGGTCAGGCAAATGCTGTCATCCAAGATGAGAGATCCAAGTACAAGTTCTGTAATAAATACAGAGAATTATGCAATGGAACTTCAGAAGCCATGAGAGACCTGTGATTGCTGTTGGTATGGATAGATTCGGACTAAACAGAGAAGAGGAATATTAATAATTATTACCTTGTTACAAAACATGCTGAATAACAGTGTAAAACACACTCTAAATCACAGTTTGCATGTCCTGGATTCCAGATGAGCTAATACCAGATAACAGCCTGCATTTCACAAATGACTTGTTTCAGCAATTTACTTGAGAAATTAGATCAAGCACACTAAAGTAAGTCCTTATTAGGCACTGCCACACTGGCTAGCTACAAGACTGTTCAATAAATATAATAAAAAAACAGAAGTCCAAGCAAACCATGTCTGGTCCTGTTAGATTATTGCAGCACACTTCTCAGTGCTCCAGAGAGATTTCGCATTCCAAGAATTATGGGCAATAAGGGACAAAACCTATAGGTATGGTAAGCCAGGAATGTTTAATAGTTACTGAAAAGCTATTTGTCTAGAAATTAAAATAGAGCGAATGTTACAAACATAGCCAAGACAAGCAGTGTTGCAAATGGAAGGGAATTTAGATTTCAGGATGATTATATAGCTACCAATTAAACATGGTCTCCTCTCATCTGCAATGAGGTCAGATGTCGTAAGCCTCTCAAACCATTTTTCCCATTACTGGAATAGAGGAGAAGCTAAAGAAAATTAAGAGGCACTCTGGCTCCACGCATTTTGAGGACCATTAGGATAATACCTGGACAGCATTTACACCATGATAAGAGTAACAATTTTGCATTCAAACACCATCCAGCAATGAAAAGGTTCAAATTAAAGGATTCATGAGCTGTAGAAGGAATAGCTATGTAACATATAACACAGTCTAAAAAAATTGATAGCTACTGACTTTTAGATGAGATGTCTCTAATTGTGTATTTTATTAACTGACTGCTTCAGTTTGTAGTTGTTCTTTATGCATATTTGCTGTTAAATTAAATCGCGAAACTTGTAGCAGTTGCCACTGACTCATGCAAAACATGAAAGACAGTAACCCTTTGTCACACTGATCCACATGTCTATGCTGGAGCAGAAAATAAGTTGGATTTCCTCCCAACACATCTTTATTAAAATGTAACACATCTTAACAGAATTTGGTAGATAAAATAATCTGATGCTTCTCATTCCAATTGGTTTCAGATTCCAACTGCTGGGTTTTGTTATTATTTTGCCTGTGCAGAAAGCATGCTATTATCAGATGGCTTCTCCTTGCATAGGTACTTCCACACTGTGTTCAAATCAATTCTAAATCTTCTGTTAAACACTTTCAAGCAATTGGCTTTTTGTGACATATTATGTTTTCCAACCTTGAGTCATTCTTGTAGCTCTTCTGCAAACCTTTTCCAATCTTTTCTTATCCTTCTTTAGTACAAACACCACATGAGGATGTCCAGAAATAGTTTTTCTTTGCCCAGAGATAACCCCACCTCACACTCTTATTGCATATTCCCATCAAAACTGGCACCTTTAGCAGCCGCATTGCCCTGTCAGCTCCTGCGCAGCTGGATGATCCCAGCAACTGTGACCCCAGAGACCTTTTCAGAACCACTGCTTCCCGAGTGGCAGCCTCTCGTTCTGTGAGGGTGACTGACACTTTCTGTTCCCAGCTGCATGACCTTGGTTGGGTCTGTCCCTACCGAAATGCATATTGTTTGAGCATACTAAAAAATAGTTCTGTAGGCTGAGTGACCCATTGCCTTATGCACGGTTACACTGAGTCTTGTTTCACCTGGAAACTTTCATCAGCTTTCTTTCAAATCACTGACAAACAAATAACATCAAGACACTAAGTAAGCTCTGCAGCTGCACTAGAAACTCTCCCATATACAGTGGTAATTGGCAATTAGTAAACAGTTTCTGAAAAATGTAACTTTTTTGCATTTATTTAATATAGTCCTAATGTTTTAATCTGAATGTTGTGTTGCAGTTCAGTTAAATACGACACACGTCTGAGCATATTAGAGAAAAATAGCCCCTGTGCAAACTAATCTTTTAATTACTTCAGAAATACCAAGCTAATTTGGCTGACCCATTGCCCATAAAGAACACCTACAACCATTTGCAGATGTCCACACATAGACCCCTGTGTGCTTGCACAAGGTACTAGCAGACTTCAAACATGTTTGTGGGCACTGAGAGTGCTAATGTCTGTCACCAGCACCGACAACACTGGAACATAAATACTTGTTACTCTAACACTAACACTTCTGAACTACAGAAGCTTTCCTGTATTTCACAATCTCAGCTGTGTCACACCACAGTACAGGTGAACAGGCGATGAAATTCTTTGAAGTGATGATCTGCTTAGGGGGTGCAAAAACCCAGACCAACAAAAACCACCAGCAGAGAAAAGAAGAGAGAACAGAAGTACTGTTAACTTGGAGACATTCATACAGGGCAGTGTTCGGGACTTGATTGTCACACCCTTCATTTGAAGGTACTCTGTACCATGAAACCTGCTGTAGACAGAAAATTGAGTGGCATCTGTAGTAAGAAAGGTGGGAACATCACATGGGAAATGTTGGGTGACTGAGGGCTGGTATAGTAGAAATGGGAAGAAGCTCAAAAGCACAGAGTGCATATACCTGGGGACTAATAAACAGAACCTCTGCTGTAATTTGGGGGATCATAATTAGAAAATGACAAAGGAGGAGAAAGGCCTGGATGTATAATCCAACTGAAAGATGACTGTAGGTCTCCAGTGTGATGCAGCATGAAAAAGACAAATACAACCACAAAACACTTCAGGCAGTTGATTTCCAGCAGAGAAAGGGAACCTTAACATCACTTCTACAAGGCAGTGATCAGACCTTCTTTGGGAATGGTCTTTCTCATTCATATTTGAGAAAGGCAAGTAAAAAGAAGAACTGGAGGCAGAAAGGGCTGCTATTTTTACAGATAAAAGTCTACAGGAAATAGCATATGTAGAGTGGGAAAAGGAAAAGAGAGGATAGCATTGTTCATCATAGGTACATCTGAGAAAGAAAAATTATATAAAAATCCTAACAGTTACAGTGGACCCAAGAGCAATTTACAAGGAATAAATATAGGTTAAGAATTTGAGCGCAGTTTCTAGTTTCCAAAGTAAAGTGTTTCACCGTGAACTAGTATAGTAGTGGGAATAACATCTGCATAATCTTCAGATTTTTATTACTGAGTTTATCAAGCTTATTAAATTTAAGGGTGTCAGTGCTACTTGCAACAATGCAGCACTGGACTAAGCAACTCAGAAGGCCATTTCCAGTCCTGTGACTTACTGACACTGGTTTGTGATAGAAGTAACGTGTAGGTATGGTTGGGTTATCCTTGAGTAGAAGAAGTTTGGGGTGAAACCAAGTTTGGATCACCTAAAACAACTCTGAAAACATGTTTTCAGCAACTTATAGAAGGAAGGACATATGGAAAGAGGGAACAGAAAGACAACAAAGAAAACACATTTCTTCCAACACCAACATCCTTACCTCCCATGAGGAAGAGAAGCCCTGCCACATACTGCATAAGGCCTCGATCCCAACAGCACCCCAGCACCCCGATAATCCATCCAAAGAGGATGATGGCCACAGCCATGCCCATGAAGCCAGCTGTCATCCTGCGCAGATCTGCAGTGGGGAAGACAGAAAAACAACATGTGTGTCAACAGTGGTAAGTATCTTCAGAGATTCATAACAGTCTTAATCCAAAATGCTACTGATCTGCAAGGTCTTCAATGTGAACTGGCAAAGGATTATTTGAGTAAGGACAGTTCAGAGGGAGGACAATCCATAAATTAAGATCCTAAATTGGGCTAGGGAGAGAGAGCAGTTGACCATTTCACCACACAATGAAACTCAGTGCAGATGTACCCAAATGACTTGTGGCAATTTGCTCAGGAATAAGAAGTTGTAAAATGACCTCAGCAGAGCTCTGTGCCAGAGCTCAAGTCTCTAGGTGCCACCACAACATCTGTTTAAATCCTACCTCTTCATCTCCATCAATTACTCTACCACATCCAATGGATGAGCCTGCTCAAACTGATATGCAAAGTGGGCTCTATGCTTTGCTCCAGCTCAGGCATGATGGGGGATCCACCTCATTTCTGACCCTGCAGTGGGGCAAGTCACTGACCCCCTCTGGACTGTGGTTTCCCATGTGTAAACTGGGCTGTAGTGCCCTGCTGTGCAGCTGTGGTGTGTGTGTAAAATTCATTACCTCCAGGATGGTGAGAGATGCGGATATTCTGGTGTCAGAGCAGCTGGGGCACGGGACACTTTATTGCCCTCTCTTTTGCCTAAATAGTGACCTTGTCAGAAGATTTTTTTTGTTGAGGATGTTTTTGAGTGCTCCAGGGAGCACTGAGAGTAGGAGAAGGGCAGAGGGATGCAATGAAGCATTTTTTGCTCTGTAAGTGGGGACTGAGTAATACATCTGATATGGGTGCAGGGCATTGACCTCAATTTGTTCCATAAATAAAGGAATAATACCCCCAAGACCTAATAGAAGGTACCCTCAAATTAAGAGCTGGCTATGTCATGTATTTGTCTTCTGCAAAAAGGATGGGACTACTGGGAACCCTTCTCCTGCATATGTGTGTGTGGGGGAAATCTTCACAGCTGCTTCTGATATGAAGTCTGGGTAAAGAGACTACCTGGCAATAAAATAGCAAGCACTATGAGAGCTAAAGAGCATCTTCACTCCCTCAAATCATGGAACAGATGGGCAGATCTTCACTAACATTTGATTGTTCCCTGTCCCCCCCTCATGCACACATACAAAGTTTAAGAACCAATATATCAAGAGTATATACATGCAGAGAAAATTCCATCCAAGCCATCTCTCAAAACATTTGTTTCCTTCTTGAATTTTATTTTTTTTTTTTCATTTTTTTTGCACAGCAGTGATTTCACTTTCTTTCAAGAAACAGAATGGTTATGACAGGGAATGAAGACTGAAAACTGTGAATCATCCACCAGTTTCTGTGGCAGCTTCTCTCCTTGGCTGGCCTTTGTTTCTGAATTTCTGTTATTTTTTTACCCTTTTAGCACAGTGGATCAAAAGGACCACCAACACCAAAGGTGCAGATACAGTGAAATTTGTGAACAGTGATAAATTAGCATCATCAGATATTTATAAAGCTCTTTAACCAAAATGCCAAGGTCTGTAGGTGTCTTGGGACAGAATGATTTGATTCAGTGGAAGACATTTTGCTCAGGGCTGTGTTCATTATAGCAATTCCTACACAAGGTTAAATTGCAGTACGTAACCCCTCCCTTGAAACTATAACTCGTTCCTGTAGATTGTCACTGGGTTTTGCAAGGAGTCCCTCTGACAACATAAAGATTACCAGGTCTTCAGCCCACCAGTGACCAGGGCTCTTTTAACCAAGATACACATCTTAAAGTACATATTTCTATCTCAAGTTTTGTGACTGTGTCTCCAAAAAAAATGAAAACCAAAACCAAACCAAAGCAAACAACAAACCAAAACCTCCCCACAAAGCATTTGAATATGTTCAAGAGGGTGCAGGGGGGAAAAAAAAAACCAAACACATTTGCCTGCAGAAACTCCTACTTCCCAAAGGCAACGCTAGTCTCCATTCCTTGGGAATTTCTCAGAGCTCCTTCTAAAACAAGCAGTAAATGTTAGCAAGCATCTTTGATGGCAGAGTGTCTTCTAGATTTTCAGTCCATAAAGGCCTGGCCTCAATTTGAAAGGTACATAAAAGCATAAAATGTTTACTGTTTCCTATGTCATCTTCAATAACAGGACAACTCATCTCTCGGAAGTGTTGCACAGTTGTCTGTGTCAGCTCTACAAAACTCTTCCATTTTACCTTGTGACTGCTGACTCTGGGTAACAGCACTTGCTCGTCCTAATGGAAATGTACCTTAACAACCTGCATGTAATGAGCTGAATTTAAATGGTTTTATGCAGCTGGAACTTGTCCGTAAGTCTTCAGACCTGTCCCAATAACTAGCTTATGGAGCCAGTTTTCATAGGTCCCAGAGGAAATCTCAAGCATCCCCCCATCCTAGATACCAAAATAAAGAACAGTTTTTACTCCACTAAAATCAGTGTGAGTTTTGCAATTGAACAGAAAAATTAAAGTAGCAGGACCAAGATTTCTAGGCCCAGTTTTGAGTTTTGTTTGACTAGACCTCTCTTCCTGGTGGAACCTGAAATTCTCTTTCTAACAACACAGCAAAATCCATCAGCATCTTAACTCTGGGCTTACATTATCTCTTGAAAAAAACGCCAAACACAAACAGAAAGCTAACCTCTGACAGACGTTTAATACCATATAAAAATAATTCAAAATGGAAATTCATTATGAAATCTTAATTCTCACAAGTTCAGTGGGATTAGCTTAAAATTGCCACTGCCAGTTGCCAATCTGCTCCTCACAAGCCCATTCATTAGGGCTTATCTGAAATAAATAAAATATAAATTTTATTTTCTATTCAAAACCATCTTGGCTTTTGTCCTGCCTTGAGTGCAGCCTTTGCAAATGGCAGAGCTGGGAAAAAGGATCGCAAAATTGGTTTCATAAACAGCCTGCACTTGTCCAACAGCAACTTCCCAGTGCTCGTCGCCTGTCAGAGCCCACAGGAAGATGAGGTCAGTGCTGGGAATGAGTCTATTCAAGGTTATTTTTTTGTGGGAAAGTGCTAGGCGTGTACCCAAATCATCACCCTCAGGCTGTTTAAGTGAGAAGGCCAGGGAAGAAGAGCCTATATTCTCTGGACACAAACCCCTATTAGTGGTACATTTTATGACTACTGTTCTATCGGTGTAGTGCTTGAAATGGAAAGTACAGCAGAAAACTAAAGATTTTAATTGTCTACTTGAGGCAATATATACATTCCTTCTGCTAATTTAGGAGCAAGAGATGCCATATAAATAAACTATAGCAATGCGTTTTGTCTGAGTTTGATTGGCACTGATAAAACCTTTACTGAATATATCCTGCAAAGGTAAAAAGGGTCATGCTTAGTCACATAACATCACTTTATGACATTTGAGCACATCCTGGGTTTGTTTTGTTGTAGACTTGTGTGGGTTTTTTTAATTTTTCTGAAATTGCTTTTATTTATTTTTAGACTTTGAAATGAATGGTTCTCTTCTTTCTTTCTTTCTTTCTTTCTTGCTTGCTTTCTTGCTCCTTTCTTTCTTTCTTTCTTTCTTTCTTTCTTTCTTTCTTTCTTTCTTTCTTTCTTTCTTTCTTTCTTTCTTTCCCCCTCTGAGTAACTACAGCATCTCAGGATCATGGCATGACAATCCAAATCAACTGAGGAAGTGACTATGCCAGCAAAATGCATCTTTGAATCTTATGCAGCTGAACGGGAGCTGCAGCAGCAAACATACCTTAGCTCACTTGTGTGTGCTGCTTAGCTGGTTCTACAGCTGATCCTCTCTTGGATATCCATCCCAAGTTCTCACACTGTACCAAAGTGCACAGGTTGCAGGAGTATTATGAATCCCCCTTTTCCACCATCTACTAACCCAGACCTTTAGAAATGTAACTGCAGGGTGCAAGTAAGGATGCTATTACATTGCTTGTTCTGTAAGGCCTATAATACAGCAGTTGATTTTCAATGCCTTGCCTGTATGAGCAGTAGTTTCAAAGATTTACTACACAGACTTAGATACCACCATCACTTGTGGGTGGAAGTGCAGTGTTATCTTTCCACTCATGTTTTAGAGACACGGTCTTCATCCCATTTTCTTTTTACATTAACAGAGTGCAAGTTCTGTGTGAGTATCTTCCCCTTGTGGGTACTTTCCGTACCTAGAAATACTACAGGTACTGCTGCATGTAATAGGCAGGGAACTTAATCCAGACTCAAAAACAATGGGCATCATTAGTAAAGGAACAGAGGCACCATGTTCATGTAGGCTGGAAAAAACACGTTTCTTGATTGATAACATTGGAAAAAGGACAGGGAATGAAGTAATCAGATTCCCATGACTGAAATGGTGAATTTGAAATCCACAAGGTTTGTGAATTGTGATGAAGAGAAACATTAGCATTTTAGACAACCTTCTTAAACAGAGACAGATTCTCATAAAACATGCATTTTATAAAAGCATTTTAGCCTTTCACTGGAGAATATTAATTCTAAAGGTTTTCTGAAGAAAAAGAAAGCCAGAAGAGCTGATTAAGATCCATTTGTTTCTAAGCAGCATGTGATAGAAAGTTCTCTCTGTCAGTCTGCAAATGCCCCTGCCCTTCCTTTCACCCTGATATCTGTCCATCTGTATTTGTTATGAGCAATAAAGTAATTAATCCTGTTTGTCACATTGTGGAAGAAGTTTCACACCCCAGCAGCTGAAAACATAACATGTTCTGAATCAGTGCTGCCTATTGAAAATGTCAATATGCCTTTTTGACTTCTGCTGTTCTGCCCTCTTTGCTGAAACTACAAGTCATCTTTCTAAAGCAAGGACTTGGTCCTTCTGTTGATATCTATCTTCCTTTCCACAAAAAAGCTTAATAATACTTCCAAAATTTCTTTCCTCACAACACATAAAGGAAGAAAATACGAGCCTCTTGTGAAAGATGGAGAAACCAAGACAAGATGAGAATAGTAAGCCTGCCCATGGCAACGTGGAAAGT